AAAACAACTACTTTATCTAACCTTTATAGGCTACATGAATTACACGAGGCAGTTTAGGTTCCAATTTGACACGAATTCAATTTAATATGAACGACAGTGAAAAAATAAAATAAAACTAAGTTTTTATCCACGAGGGGAAAAGTGCATTACTATTATCTTTTAAATTAAACTTATTCGAGAGGGGGAAAAAAACAGTATTTAAAGATTGGTTCAGTTTATAGGCCTTCACTGGTCTGCATGACTGACTGCTCTGTAAACTGTGTATGAATAAACGAAAACAGGCAATAATTGTCTTCTCTCTGAATACATAAGTCATCATTTTGGGATCATGTGTAATATAAATAAACCACAGATTTAAAGTGGGCCAACAGTTTCTTTTTCAATTTAATGTGAGTTTGTCAGAAGGGGAAAAGACAGTCAAAGTGAACGCAGCTCTGTTCCTTCAAATGTTTTCAGTGTTTTAGTCTGGCAGGAAAAAAAAAAGTGTGTGTGGAGGGAGGGGGGGGGGCGTTTCACAATATGCAAAGATGTGTGATTGATAACAGGCTTGCTGTTTTCTGCAAGGGCTGTCAGTCCGTGACACAATATGTGAGTTATTAGGGCAAAGAAGGGCAACCATAAATTTCCAGTGTCAGGCGAAAACCCTCTTTATTGTCCGTATGACGAATGGGCTCCTGCACCAGACACCAAAATACTCGGCATTCCCCTTAAATGGGAACACATTTTTGCGACCATAATTCACGATATTTAAATAGAAAGTTTTAATATCCCCATATATTTCATAACGCTGACATGTTTATGAATCACTCTCTGCATGCACATACAACTATTTACATCTCGTGAGGAAATATGTTGGACTTCTAGGATTACTGTGAGCTATAGTCTACTCTGAGCCGACTACTTTCTATTTAGCAATAAGACATATATTAAATATTTTTTATTCGCGTATAGCCACGTAAAATACAGGCCTAAAACACTAAATTAACCAATCATGTGTGATTAATCCTACATCTGGTTTTACATTGTGCTATATAACATTTAAATGGCACGTTGTAAACGCTCTTTTTGAACTCTTCACAAACTTAAAAGACATCTTATTTTTATCTTAATCAGTTTTTCCTCTTTTTATTAGACTACTTGGAGGCGATGTTACAGATAATAACTTTAACATAATAATGTCCTTTGTATTGTTTAGTCTCCAATAACAGTAGCAGATAAAATAAAACACAGAGTTAACAACAGCGTGTTAAAACCACTGAACCGCATGCATGAGGTAGACTACAACAAGATTTCTAAAACTCCAAGAAGGAAGCAGAGGTTTACAGGAAAGTCCGTGACACCACATTACCTGGAATCATTGCCTACTAAGCTCCGGTGTAAAACGTCAGAGAAGTCAACTGATTTAAAAAAAAAAAAAAAAAAGAACACTATAATAACATTAACCTGTAATCCCTCTGTCTTTAATCACCTTTTTTGTTTTAAATTAAACTAAAGTCTGAACGGTCTGTGAAGCAGTTTAAAAGACTGAAGCCACGCAGACGCTCGCGCTGTCTCTCCTGCGCGAGGAGCTGGGAGAAAGTGAGCTTTTTCCGCGAGTGGGAGGTCCCAAGTGACGTCACACAAACATACAGCGAGGCGGCAGAGGGACGATATGATGGTGTTTCCAAACTCTTCGACACTCTTAACACAAGTGCCACGGTGACCTCAAAATAATGCAGTTAAACACACACAGCCTATTTTACCACTACAACATAATCTGTCATTAGCAGGTTAGCATTAGACTTTAGTGAGAGGTGATAAAAAAAAGAAAAGAAAAAGCAGTGAGATAGGCTGCTCTGTTGTTTGCCTGCACTGCATGCTCTCAAGGAACACAGGAAAAATAAAATAATTCAGGGGAACTTGCTGACTGTCGTAACTTGAGTTGTTGAAAAGTACAAATACACAGGCTATATAAAATGAGCTAAATGCAGAGAATTTCATCTTGTTACCACAGCAGTAGTTTGATGGGGTTAGTGGCGCAATGCACATAAACCTTTCAGGCTCTGTCAGAATGAACTACAACAGGACTACATTATCTCATGGTGGGTGGGGACAGTGTTCTTTAAAAGTTTTTATATCAAAAGTGAATTAAATGCTGAAATTGCGATACAGCTATTCAAATTGGTCAGGAAAACAAATACCAAACGTTCACAGAACCAAACCAATATAAAAGTTCACACAAAATGTTCAACAAAAAGCACTGACTGTAGCCTTTACTTGATCTGCAGTGCACTGAGTCATGACTCAGGGCAAAATAAAAAATCATTTGCTGAAAAAGTTTGTTCTCTGCCATATTGATTGTCAAAGAAAATAAACTAACACGAGTATTTAGAAATCTGCTAGGCTATAAAGGTTGTCAAAGTTTTTTTTGTTTTTAAGGGGTAATATGAAACAAAATTTAACTTTGTTCCCAAGGGTTACAGAAGCAACAGTGTCACTATTTTCCATGTGTTCATGTTCCTCAGCTGCGAAAAAGACAAAGAAAGAAACAAAAAAAGGAAATGGACTTAATCAACCCAGCTTATCCCTTAAGCAACAACATTTGAGTCACGTTGAATATCCCGCAGAATATGGCTAACAGCTCTCTTCTGTGAAAAGTAGTTCCAGTGAAAACAGCCAAGCAGCAGATAAGACAGACGGGCTTTGTCAAAATCTAAGTTGATCAAACCAAAATGCACTGAAACTTAATTGTTAGCTGAGTACATGCAGTATGTATGAAAAAAAGATGGTCAAAACCACCAATGGTTGGGAAGCCACAGGTAAAGCATTTTGGCCATCGCCATCATTTTATAAATTATTTTAGAGCTGAGATTGGGATGACGAGGTAGAATTGTTGAGAACAGATTGGCAAAATCTTAGTTATCAAAATAGTAGTCAGTGCTAATGCCAAATTCATAATTTAGCTAATGGGATGGTTAATGACAGTGTTTTCCACATAATTCTAATCTATTTGTGGCGCTATCTGACCATTGTTGTTAATTCATTAAACTTAGTGTGGTCAATGTGAGGTAAGTTCAGAAAATGTTAAAGAACAGGCCTTTGGTCCCCTCATCACTACGGCCAGTTGTGTTCTCGGATGGGAAAAGCCAAAGCAAATCTGGACTGTAGCCAAATGCAAGCACCGCCATAAATAAACAAATGATTGGCAAAAACTGAACAAGCCAAAATACAAGTTATATTGAGCACAGGCATCCCTGTTAATATGTTTTTACATATGAATACAAATTCAAACTACATTTCTTAACACTTATGCAGAAGTTTTAGTCTTCATATAACCTAAACAGATAAGTAATGTAGGCTATAGTAATCCACCTCCTGTTCAATTGCCATGAATGAAGGATTTAGATTTATCATACCTAATCTCATGGGGATCAAATTACTTTTGGTTCTATAGCTGCATGTGGCCATTGAAAGTACTGCAGTTTTAAACACCTTTTATTTCATTTGAGAGGACAACCTTTAACACAGAACATATTAAAACAACATATTTTATGGAAACAGGGTGGGTACATCTAGTCAGGGGGGAGTGGCGAAGATCTATCTCGCAAAAAAATGTAATAATAAAAACGTTTATCAGGCATAATTGGACAGAAATAGTATTATGTACCGTAAGTTGCCAATTGTTTCGCAATGTTTTTGGGTTCTAAGACAAACTCCTTCATACATGTATGATAATAAAAAAGGCTATAGCCAAGATAATCCATCATTTAGGAAAAGCACTTAAATAAGATGTATTATTATTATTTAAAAAAATCTAAAGTAGCCACTTTAACTATTATGTTAAATTGATCCTTGCTTGTGTTGTAGTTAACGCTCAGATGTACTCTGTAATAGACAAAAGCGTCTGCTTAATTTATTGTAGAAGGAATAGGCTACAGGTTTAAGAGAATGATGTATTGCTAGTATTTCCGAGCAACATAATTTAGGTGTATAAGACAAACTTCTTCAAGAATGCTTAACATTCAAGTCAAAAAATCTTTGTCAAGAAGAGCAAAAGGCTAGCCTACTATCAGGGCTGAAGTAGCTTTTTAAGCTAACATAGGTTACAGCAATCTATGTTAGCTTAAAAAGCTACTTTAGCCCTGATAGTAGGCTAGCCTATTGCTCTTTCCTGACACATTTGCAATGTCATGTCCATTACACTGAACTGCTTCTGTTTATGCCTTGAGCAATTCAGTGTCATGGACCCATGATTAATATAAGATAAGATAAGATAAGATAAGATTATCCTTTATTTATCCCACAATGGGGAAATGTACATTGTTACAGCAGCAAAGAGCAAAAGATTGCAGACAAAAAGTGAACACAGTACAATTTAAATATAAAAAGAAAAATTAAGAATGTACAAAAAAAAGATACTAAAAAATTGATTTAAAAAATAAAAAATAGATCAGCTATTCGACAAAAGTGTAGTCCGTAATATTCTGTGTAACACAGACATGCACATAGAGTGTAACATGTTATTGCACATAGTGGATGGTTAAGCACAATATAACATTATTATTGCACAATGTCAGAGTGAATTGTGTGGTTGTGTGTGTGTGTGTGTGTGGTTGTGTGTGTGTGTGTGTGTGTGTGTGTGTGTGTGTTTTGTGATCTACTGGGAGGAAGCTTGGTTAAACAGTCTGACTGCAGCAGGAAGGAAGGACTGTATTATAATATTGATGTTTTGAGGATGCTTAATAGCCTATTCATGACTTAAACTGTTGTCACTGTTGTGATATAGAGTAGTTATTGAGAAGGTGTAGAACTAATGACTTCTCACATCACAAAAAAAACAGTTTTTTAAACTTTTTTTCTTAAGTTAAGCTCAGAAACACTTTATAGGCTTTCATTTTTTTTTAAAACTGCTTTTTTGAAATACAACTTTAAGTCAAATATGTTTCCATAAGCCTACATGTGAAGGGAAACCTTTTTCAGCAGCACACTGACATTACACACTGTGTCCACGTGCTTCCGCACAACAGCAGGTCAGCTGATTCAAACGGCACGCGGAAACTGTAAAGTCATTTGAAAAGCGGCAGTAGATCTCCAGAGACTGTCTTCACACACCTCACCTTTTAATGTTGACAACAGCGCAGGACTCTGGATATCAACGCAGGTAGTTTTGTTTGACCACACCAGTCGGCGGGGCTGTCATCCTATGGAGGAAGTTATGGCACAGAACGAGTCTTCAGTCGCGCTGAATGGGACTCAAGTAAGTTTGTTTAAGAAACTTCTTTTTTTTTCTGTCCTGACGTCTCCCTCCACTTTTCTTTGGCGGTTCAATCATTAAAAGTGAGCATACTTTAAATAAAAATTAGACTATAAACTGTGGTCAGTGTATGCGAGTGTTGTTTATTTCTCCTGCATCACTGGTGTCATGTGACACTCTGCAGCTAATGTTACAGTCGTGACTTTCAGTTTGGCATTTCCTCCTACAACTTCACTAGACAGATGAATGCCTCCAACCTACTGCAGTGAACTGCACTGAGTGATTATATCTATACAAACGTAAATACTACCGCAGTTACAAGCTTCTACTCCTCTGGGTTTGAAAGAGGATGAATGGAAACCTAACAGCTGCATCATACAGCCTAGAATCATACTTGCTCACATGAAATTTAAATGACGACCCAAAATCCATTATAGTTTAACAGGAGGAGTAGCCTGTTATTAATGTTTGAATGGTAACACACTTTTATTGTCATTATCACAGTTGTTATAGCGTATATTAGTCATATGGCACTGTTACTATTCAATCTCTGCAATCTGTATTTTTATTTTTTTACTTTCCCACTTTCTCTGTCCTTAAAATCATTGGTGGAATAATGTTTTAAAGAATATAACTAAGCATGGTCAAGACCTTCTCTATATGAACAGTGTTATTTATGCTTGATAAGAATTAAACGACTGATAGATTGATCCAGAAAAAATAATACATTTTCTGCATCTTGTCAGGGATGCTATTGTGTCATTGCCACTTCTCTCCTTGGTAATCTATCATATATATATATATATGTTGCTTTAGATATCTTACATTGGACATGACTGTAACGACATTCCAGACTTCCTTGGGGACCAATACGGCCACTTTGCAAGAAGGCTGGATCTAAGCTTCAATCAGCTCAGGTAGGTGACAGATGCACAGACGACAAACATATAATCACCAGCGTGTGCTGTCTCAATCTCTCCCCCTCTCTCTTTTTTTATCTGTCTGTTACTGCGAGACATGCATCTTTACATCAGGTGCAATTGAATTTGTGCCCTCAGTCTATAGGTGTCCAGAGTGTCATCACAACATCAAAGGGCTGAATGAGTGTTAGAGCTGGGCGGGTGCCACGCTGGGGCAGGATAAAAGGCGCGATCGATAAATGTGACATGCTAATTCGAGGGGGCAAAATAGAAGAAAAGATTCCTCTGTCAGGACATGAAGGAACACCTCGTGGCAGCCGCTTCAGAGGGGGCTGCCGTTTCAACAGCAGGGCTGGCATAGTTGATCTGGCAAGTAAAAGAGAGGAGATGATGGTTATAAGGTGCTTTTGTTTCTGAACCCTTTTCATGACTGTCAGGCCATGACGCCGCTCAATAGAGGCAATCTTTTTGATGAAATAGTTGTCTTGAGGCAGTTGTCTGTGCTGATGATGTGGAGTCTTCAATTGAACTGATTTACATCTTGTCATACTGCAAAATCCGCCCTTTACACAAAATGTTCAGACCTGAAGGAAATGTGTGTTTAGAGTTAATGAATAAAACAAAATATTTCTCAGGAAATAGGACCCTAAAACTGCTGACCGTGTGACCTAATATTTACTGCTTGTGTGTGCACACGGTTTTGCTCACCTTGATTTAAAGTTTTAATGAAAACCTCATAAATGTGCTATAATGGGTGATTATTCAGCCTGTTACTTAGATTTTTGAGTTTGTGAGCAGTGTAAGGTTAACTGAACCTAAATACATGAATAAATACAAGATGGTATAAAAGAAGCTAAACAAGCAACAAGGAAAGATTGCAGTCACCCCCCCCCCTCCTTTTTGTCCTTTAATGTACCCTTGGTGACGATGTCTTTTCTTATGCACTACTATATGACTTGATTTGTTCTCAAGCTGTGCCTTGTACCCCTCCTTGTACATAATTGATAATGTATATGATGAACAGATGCTATGACAATAGACTAGTGTTTAGACAACATGATTTTTGCTAAAGAATTACGTAAAGTACTTCCCATGGTGAATTACGTTTTTTTCTGCCTGACATAGTCAGGTGTACAGAAAAATGTACCCAGTATCCATATGGTGTAAAAGGAAGTGCTGTTTTCATTGTTCATATACCTGATAAAACGTCCTGAGACTGACAAGGTTATAAATAAATTTACCTGCAGTAAAGGTAGATGATGTTTGTGACTTTTCACATTTCTTAAAGTCATGCTGCCCTCCAACACATCTGTCACATATTCAGGACAGGGGTGTACATTTTGGTTTTTTTCATATAAAGTTCTGCAACAGAAAAAAATCGCTGAGAAGATCTTTGTTCTTCTCTTTCTTGGTCAAAACATCCTCCTTTATCCATGGTTTATTATCAATCCCTCAAGTGACTTATTTAAAGCCGTATCACCACATTCAGTTAATTCTAGAGTGGTTGATCAGGAGCTTTATGTATTAGTATTATCCAACAAAGGCCTCTAAACAGCAGATACTGCAGTAAATCTATTGTTTGCCATCTGATCATGACTGCAATGTGCTTGGCACTAAACACTTGGACAACTGAATAATAGATGTCTTACTGTTACCTCAGAGGAAGTGAAAGGCCTGGTGTGTGTTGCAAACAGCATTATGAAATCTGGCTTAAACAACACTTGGTGCGTGTTGCTTTCAGGGAGATCAAGGCTGACATTATGTTTCTCGCCCTTGAACCTGTCACATAAAGAGCTTGATGTTTAGAATTAAATATTTATGACTCAGATATTACTAATTCATTATTAATTCTCCGTTTGGATAATCTGAGATGTCAGATATCTTTACTAAACTTCAAAGGGTGGTGTGGGCCGAGAAGCGGTGCAGAAGTAATGAAGTGGTACTGTCCAACCATTTGGGGCATATATCAGTGGACTATTGATTGATGGTTTGCTATTGGGCAAACTGATCCGTTACACAGTGCTTCATCTTTTCTCCTATAGATAGTCTGCTTGAAGGGTTCTTATCATAACCCATATACTAAGGTAGCAAGAGACACGTCTTTAGAGATTGTTTTCCTTTCTGTTAGAAACATTTCATACACACCTTCTCACTTTTTAAACTCTTCCATGTGTTTTACTGATTCTTCTACTGACATTTGTAAAATGTGTTAAAACAAATTCCCAGAAGTGACTCTTATTGAAAACAGGATCTCTGAACACTGTATCTCTATCTATACCTATAAAATACACATTACTGACCTGCTTGCATGGTTATGCAGCAGGATTCTCCACCAAGCACACACACACACTTTCCATTTAGACCTAATTTTACAATCTATTTTGAAATTAATTTCCTGTTGCAATGTGTTTCTTCACATGAACCTGTTCGGAGGTTATGGACAGGCAGAGCTGGGAAACTCAATAAGCAGCCAAACATGTGATAAATTTATATGCTAACTTCAGCATAGCAACCCCGTTAGTACTTTTGATCTCCGTAAGAATGCACCTAAGAGGCCCCTGACTCCCAGCTTAATGGTGAAAAAGCTTTTCCTGGGAAAAAGGACTTGTTTTTTCTTGATAGAAGATTGCTGACAGATTTGGCTTAAAACACAGGTGGTTAGTTCTTACGCCCCATGTACAGAGGCTGCGATCCACGAGGCGATCCCCGGGTTTGGGTCCGGCCCAAGTCTGGGTCCGGCCCGTGGCTCCTTTCCTGCATGTCGTTCCACGCTCTCTCCTTGATTTCCTGCTCTGTCCTCTGTCCTGTCTCTACTATAAAGGCACAACAAGCCAAAATATTAATGAAAAAAACACTGCCTCACAAGAACCTTTAGTATTTTATTAAACAGTACTCTGCATCCAGAATAACCTGCAGTGCGGCTCATTCTCCAAACATTAAATCTTGTGAAGCTCGGCTTAAAAAAAGGGGCACCTACGTCCTTAAAGTAAAGAGAGGTGTCATCTGCATATGAAATAACACCAATACTTTTTTTCTATACCAAGGTAGTATTTTGATTTTCACCTGATACAGTATTATCCCACAATATTACATCTTGTTGTCTCAGCCTTCAAGGATCTACTACCTGACGTTGCTTGTCAGTTAGTAGAGACATTTGTGAATTGACACCGTGACCTCGTTTCAGTGTCAGCTCGAGCAGACCAGGTGTAAACAGATGCACATGTGAGAGGAACTCAGCGGACCGCCTTGGGCATCATGCACTTCTCCGTGCTGCTTGACTCAAATCTAGAGAGAGACATTGCCAGAGTTTGTTGTAGCTAATATGCTTATTTCTGTCACCTCAATTGACAACACTCATCCAGCAAGCTGACAGTGAGTCACAATGAGAAGCAATGTACTCGCACCACCTTAAACTGAGTGCTGTGTGTGTGTGTGTGTGTGTGTGTGAGTGTGTATGTCGCACATAGGTTTATGTTTGTGTGCATGCTTGTATGCAGTGTTGGTGCATCTGTCTCTGTGAACATAACTGTGAGTGGCTGGGCAGGTAATGGCAGGATGAAATTATGGTAGCGGGCTGTCACACCCACACCTCTCCCTGTGTGCTGCACTGTCAGCCTGTCTCATCAATGTGTTGAAAAGTGTGGCTCACAGGGAGATTTGTGTCTCAGGACTAGCATGGGTGGCATTGTGTCGTCCACTTTGTTCCAGGTCAGGTGTGTACACAGTGCAGCGAGTGGGCATGTGCTGTCATGACATGATTCCTCTCTGTGACTGGGGTGCTGGCATCTGTTACATGCAGTGTTACAGCCCTGGACACATGAGGTTTGAGGCGGACACATGTCTGTGAGTCACAGCAAGAATCCAAACATTTTTAGAACAGTGACAACCTTCCTTCTTAGATGTGACATCGCTTCTTGATAACAAACTCAGTTTTGTAGTGACAGCATTTCTGAAACTGTAACCCAACCCTAAAACTTGCCCTTATTTTTTTAACTAGATTTGCTTGAGCTAGTTAAATCACAGAGGTATGAAAAATATGTTACAGAAAATGTTATATATTTACAAGTTGTTGATCATAGTGCAAGATGGTCTGAATTTTACAGACAACCTCGTCCATTCTATATAAATGTTGTAGCTACCACAAACTTTAATAACATATTAATCACAGAGGTATGAAAAATATGTTACAGAAAATGTTATATATTTACAAGTTGTTGATCATAGTGCAAGATGGTCTGAATTTTACAGACAACCTCGTCCGTTCTATATAAATGTTGTAGCTACCACAAACTTTAATAAGATATTTTGCTTTAAATGTACTCCAGTTTTAGGACACCTCAACAGATTATTTCAAAATAAAAGTGGGGGAAAAAAATAAACATACCCTAGTAAGTTTCTGATGTTGATTTAACACGTTAAGCTTTATTCTGGCTTCACATTTTTTTTAAGTGTTATATCAAGACAATAAATTAAAGGTAGTCTGTCCTTGATTACTTAGTGGGTGAGGAAGTGGTTGTGTTGGGAGAGCTTTCTGTATATGTGTGAATGCTACTTTCTTGTTGTCACCAGTTTTTTTTGTGTTGCATAGAAGAAAAAAAAGGGTTTGCAATTTAAAACGGTGTGCATGGATTTGCATTGGAAATCCTTGCGCACAGTTTACAAATCTGTGAGCTCAGTGAGGTCTGGACGTTGTTAAAGGTCTGTGCAGCCTATCAGCTTTCTCTCGTCACGTTATGTATTCTTTAGCCAAATCGTACTGTACAGGTTTAAAAAATTATTTTGTGGTCAAAAGGCTTAAGAGGAGGTGATAGCAATGACTGTTGCTGCCGAGACGGGGAATTGTTTCAGCTCAAGAAGCTGTCCAATGTTTGCAGAGCTGCTCGCACACTGTTCCATAGAATCCTTTTTTGTAGTAGATGAACCCACACAAATTTTAACTTGAAATTCCACCTACCATTCAGAAATAAAGTGTCCATATGCTACCTGTATATGTGTGT